TATCTTCTGTGTCTGTGTTAATTGGTTTCCCTTTTCTTTGTTGAAGAGGGTCTGTGCAATCCTTCTGCCTAGTCCGCCATCTTGCCCCGCCCAAATGAGGTCTAATTTTTTCTTTATGAGAATCTTTCTGGTTAATTATTACTTATTTTGATGATCCATTTAGAAAAAAGAAAGAAAGAAACAGGGTCACTGAGTTCATTCTGACTCATAGTTCTGTCCTATAGGATAGAATAGAACTGTCCCATAGGGTCTACAAGGCTGTAAATCTGTACGGAGACAAACTTCTTTATCTTTCTCCCATGGAGCAGCTGGTGGATTCGAACAACCAATCTTTTGGTTAACAGCCCAATGCTTTTAACTACAGCATGTCCATATTATTCCATTTTATAAATGTTGTTAGGTGGCATCGAGATGGCTCCAATATGTAGTGACCAGAACAAAAAACTGACTGGTCCAGTGCCAGCCCCACAATCCTTGGTACACCTGAGCCCACTGTTGCAGCCACTGTGTCAATCCATCTAGCTGAGGGCCTTCCATTTTTCATTGACCCTCCACTTTACCAAGCATGATATCTTTCTCCAGGGAATGGTCCTTTCTGACAACATGACCAAAGTAAGTCAAATGAACTCTGGCCATTTTCTCTTCTAAGGAGCATGCCGACTGTACTTCTTCCAGGACAGATTTCTTAGTTCTTCTGGCAGTTCATGGTACTTTCAGTACTCTTCACCAACACAACTCAAAAGCATCAACTCTTCTTCAATCTTCCTTGTTCATTGTCCATGTATATGAGGTGATTGAAAATACCATGGCTTGGGTTAGGCACACCTTAGTCTTCAAAGAGACATCTTTGCTCTTCAGCACTCCAAAGTGGTCTTTTGCAGCAGATTTGCCCAGCGCAAGATATCATCTGATGTCTTGACTGCTGCTTCTATTGGTGTTGACTATGGAACCAAGTAATACGAAATCTTTGACAATTTCAGTCTTTTCTCCATTTATTGTGGTGCTGCTTATTGGCCCAGTTGTGAAGATTTTTGTTTTATTTATAAGTGTATTATTATAATTGTATTAATATGAGTATATTATTATAAATGTATTTACTATCTATTAAGCTATTTATCTTAAACTTTCAGCTTCTTTCCGATATTTTGCTCTTAGAAAAAAAATGCTGCAACAAACATAACTCTGGATGGACTTTCTAGTCCTAAACTGAATATTTACATTTTTGTAACTTTCTGCCAAATTTCTCTTCAAAAACTGTTAGTTAAGTGAGTAGGGCGCTGAGTTCCTCACATTCTTACCAACACTAAATTCCAAATATTTAACATTTGGAGCGATATGAAAAGTAAAAATCACTCTAAAGATAAAAGAATAAAACTCACAGAGATGACTGAGTTGCCCAAAATCTCTCAACCAGTGGAGAGCCACTCTCGAATATGAGGTCTCCTTATTTGGGGTAAAGTGGCCTTTGCATAAGTTAGGTCTAGAAGCTTTGTTCCAGAGGCCTCAGGTAAAATGTACATGTACTGTCTGAGAAAAAAGGAAGAACTTCTTTTCAGTATCAGGACTTTCTTCAATGTAGGAGGTAAATGAAACTTGGACCTTGAAATGAGGTCCTGGGGCAGCTGAGTTTCTGAAGGGCAGTGTGGCAGCGGGTGGGATGTGTGTGTGTGGGAGGGGTAGGTGGGTGGGTAGAGTGGTAGGGTTATGGTGGGGGATAGGGGTGCCCAGGAGTATGAGTGGCAGTTCAACTGGAACCATGTCAGGAGACCTGGCATCTATAATAGAGGGTCAAAATCATATTGATTTTGATCATGAACATATAGATAGATATTGAATACTTTGGGTAAAGCACACACTTTCTATGCTGCATATGTTCAGATATATTACTGTGTTTTTCTGTTGCAGTTCTAAAATATAAGAAGAATGATGAGGATGAATCACTTAAAGACAAACTGTCTAAACTAAATATTCATTCAATTAGCAAGAAATCAAAAAGAGTGACAAATCATCTAAAGATTCTGACCAGAGGAGAATCACAGGTAATTTTCCTACTAGGGCCACATACATTTTGCGAGGGAGCATGAACGCCGATATTTTGAGGAGGCTAGGTTTTGTTGTTATCAGATCTGTTTCTAGAATGCTGAGAATTAGAGTAATTGCCCTATACTCTTCCTTTTCCCTCTTTCTGTCTGTTGGAAGGAAAAAGTAGGTGGAAGGATTCCGTGGGTGGAGCAAATGGTTAAGGCCTTTGACTATTAACTGAAAGACTGGCAGTTCAGGATCTTCCAGTGGTGTCTTACAAGGAAGGCCTGGAAATCTATTTCTGAAAAATCAGCCACTAAAAACTCGATGGAGCACAGTTCTACTCTGACACACATGGGGTCACTATGAGCCAGAATCAACTCCACCAACTTGACAATTTTGTTTTTTCATTCTGGTTAATGAGTGGAAATGAAGATGGTTTTGACACTACGTTAGCTGTTGTCCATCCACTTAGGAAACAGACAAGCAAGAGGTAAGAAAGTGACTCAACAAGGAATGCCCCAAGAAACCTGATGCTTACCATGAACTAGGAACTCTAGTAACAAAGTGCCTAAGGCACTTGACTGCTAACCAGAAGGCTGAGGGTCCAAACCCATCAGCCACTTCTCAGAAGGAAGGTTGGGCAATCTACTTCCGTAGTGATACTGCCTTGGCAACCCAAGGAGGGGTCGCTATGAGTTGGGGCCAACTCGACAACACATAACACCACCACCACCACCAAGAATTAACACAAAATCTCCCTCCACTCCCAAGGCAATGTCTCCTTTCCTATTTTATTTTGGCTTTTCAAAATGTCACTTTTCTTTAGGGTGTCCTTGATGTTCATCTTATCTTTATTTCATCTATTAAAAAAAAGCTTTTAGATTCATACCTTAGTGTGGTTCCTTTCCTGCAGCTTCTCCCCCTCACCTTCCTGCCCTTCCCAGGTGCTTATTATATTAGCAGGCAACTTCTCTGTGTCGCTTGGTTATCCTGGCTTAGAACACCTTCATCTCAACCCCTAATTAATAACAGATGGGTTAGCAAAGGCTCTCAAATTTAAATGTGCCTAAAAATTACCTGAGGAGCTTATTAAAGGATAGAATTTTATTCCAAAGTTGCACTCTTTCAAGGGTGGATGTGAGAACTCTGTATTTTTGCAAATGCTCCAGGGGTTTTCAAGCTAACGATCTTGAAGTTGATCGATGGAATGCACTTTGAGAATCACAAAATAGACAGCTTATGACCCTGAGGTACTAATACAGTGGACTTCTAACCAAAAGAAGGAAAGACAGTTTTTAATATATTATGTTGTCCTGATTTTTTTTTCCTTCTCATTTTCCTGCTTTCATTATTTATTATTTCAATATCTTATAGTATAGGGTCACTACATGTCAAAGTCAGCTAGATGACAATGGGTTTAAGTAATAGTTCAATATTTCTGTTTAATATCTCTAACTAAGTATTTCAGTTGAACTAGAGGCAACAAAAGGGTGGTACAGCATTGGCTTGAGATGGCTCAATCTATCCACTTCACTCCAGCTGCTATGCTGTTTTTGCCCTGTTGATGAAGTTTTTGAAGCTTTCTCACCACTTAGATAGAAGTGGCCTCCCCTCCTTTGAATGCCTGTCACTGACTGTACCCTAATCTTGGCATGCTTATATATGCAGGACTCAACACAGGGCAGAAATTAAGAACAAAGTCTTTGAAGTCACCCGATCTGGATATGAACTCCATCTTTGCCACTTAATAGAGATTTGCCTTTGGGGGGATTAATTTGTTGTTGTCAGCTGCCACTGAGTTGGCCCCCAACTCATGGCAACTCCAGGAATGTTGTTGTTGTTGTTATGTGCTCTCGATTTGGACCAACTCATAGCGACCCCTCCTTGGGTTTCCAAGGTGGTATCACTACGGAAGTAGATTGCCCAATCTTCCTTCCGAGGAGTAGCTGGTGGGTTTGAACCGCCAGCCTTTTGGTTAGCAGTCAAGTGCCTTAGGCACTGCGCTACCAGAACTCCCTGGGCCAGTCCCACCCCTACGATCAGTTACAGATTGGACCATTGTGATTTATAAGGGGATTTTACTATTTTTATTTATAAGGGGATTTTACTATTACCTAACAAATGGGGGTGGTTGGGAAGACTGAATGAAATAATACATTAAGGAAAATACCTAATAGAGTGTGTGTAAGAACTTTCTCTATATGTTGTTGTTGTTGTTGTTGTTGTTATGTGCGGTCGAGTCGCACCCGACTCATAGCGACCTTCCTTGGGTTTCCGAGGCAGTATCACTAGGGAAGTAGATTGCCCAATCGTCCTTCCAAGGAGTAGCTGGTGAGTTTGAACCCCGCCAGCCTTCTGGTTAGCAGTCAAGTGCCTTAGGCACTACACTACCAGAGCTGATCATTATTATTATTATATCATTATCTTGCATTCTATTTATTTTTTAATGCACAGATTTATTTCCATGTGAATATAAACTCATTCAAGCATGGCTTTTTATCATTCTTGTACTTACTTCCCTATATTCTTCTAGAGGTTGACCTAGCCCATTGCATATAGAAAACAACTCCAGATCCCTCCACTCAATGTAGAACTATAATGTGGAAAGTTTGGGATGTTATGGTGTGTGGTTATAAATTAGGGAAAGAAAAAATCAAGACATTACTGAAGAAACCATAATATAATTGAATTGGGAACTTATTTGAGAATAGATTGTAGCTTCTGTGGACATATATAAATGTAGTGCGTACATTTCACCCCCCCACTCTTTGCAATTTAGCTTCTAGGGCTCAAGAAAATTCTGTTGAGGAATGATAGGTAGGTTCTAATTCTGGGAAGGCTCTTGTATAAGCTGTTACAGTCTTTAACATATTTATCATCAGCTTCTCATATTTTTCAATTGTGAGCTAAAAGTGAATTGTAGTTAGAGGAGCCTGAAGGGATATTAATTAGATTTTTTCCCCTTAATCTTTTGAGATGATGTCCTGTCAGAAATGAAGCATTTCATTGTTAATCAGAAATCAGCTGCATAGGCCAAACTGGAAAAGAGATAAATCTCAAATCAATCAATTTTGCACTTGTCAGAAGCTCACGTGAAATATCTGGTGGAGTTAGGGTATAAAACTGTTACCCAAGAGGAAGATGCTATACAATTCATCATGCATTTATTGAATTCTAATGTACGAGACACTGTGTTAGAAACTGGGACTACAAAGACGAACCAGGCTCTGAATTCAGACTGCTTGAGTTTGAATCCTGGTCTTTTCCACCCACCTTTCATTAGTTCTGTGAAGCCCCTGGAGTGCAAATAATAATGTGCTCAACTGCTAGCTAAAAGAGTGGAGGTTCGAGTCTACCCAGAAATACTTTGGAAGAAAGATCTGCTGATCTACTCCCCCAAAATCAACCATTGAACACCCTGTGAAGTACAGTTCTACTCTGAGATACACAGGGTAGCCTTGGGATGGAATCAACTTGATGCCAACAGTTTTTTATTATTTTTTAAAAAAAATTAGGATAAAGAATAAGCTTCTGTCATATAAAAATCAAAATCAAAAACCCAAACTCACTGATGTCAAGTCAAATCCTACTCCTAGAGACCCCTCCTTGGGTTTCCAAGGTGGTATCTCTACAGAATTAGATTGCCAAATTTTCCTTCTGAGGAGTGACTGGTGGGTTTGAACCACCACCCTTCTAGTCAGCAGTCAAATGCCTTAGGTACTACACCACCAGAGCTCCCTCCCTCTGTCATACAGAGATTTCAAATATTAACAGCTTAAATAAGATAATTATTTATTTCCCTTTCTTATAATAGACCTGGGGAGCTCTGGTGGCATAGTGGCTAAGACACTTGCCTGCTAACCAGACGGCTGGTGGTTCAAACCCACCAGCCACTCCTCGGAAGGAAGGTTGGTCAATCCTACTTCCGTAGTGATACTGCCTCGGAAACCCAAGGAGGGGTCGCTAGGAGTCAGGGCCGACTCGACGGCACATAACAACATAATAGACCTGAGAGGTGAGTCCAAATCCTTCGGACACCCAGTTCCTCCCAATTTATTGCTGTGCTATTCCATAAAGGTATTGTCTTCATCTACTTAGTTGAACCTGACTCACTGACTTGTCGCATCCAAGTCCCAAAGATATTGTTATAAAGCCAAGACTCCAAAAAGACATAAATCACTTTCACTGACATCCTATTTGCCCAATACCAGTTATAAAGCCACCACTAACTGCAAAGGAGTCTGGGAAATGTAATTTCTAGCAAGGCAGTCATAAGTCCAACTTAAACTAGAAGTGGGAGATCTATTAGTAAAACAACAATGGAGGTAATTTTGATAGTCTCTACCACACCTACTTAAACTTCTGTTTCATCTCTAAAATGGGATCAATAATAACACCTTTCCCACAGGTTTGTGTAAGAATTAAATGAGAAAATGGAAGAAAGTTTTTAGAACAGTGTCTGGAACTTAGTCAATGTTTAATATATGTGAGCTATTATTATTATTAAGACCAATGTACTTAATCTCAAAATGCTTATAATCTATCAAAACCAAACCAAAGTCACTGCCATCGAGTCAATTTTGACTCATAACAACCCCCTTTGGGTTTCCAAGGAAGTAAATCTTTATGGAAGTAGATTGCCCAGTCTTCCTTTTGCAGGGTGGCTGGTGGGTTAGAACCACCAACCTTCTCCTTAACAGTCAAATGCCTTAGGCACTAGAGGAGATAATTGCTTAAATAATTAACTAGTGTAGTAAGTGTATATAGGAGGGAGGGATTTGTTTTCAAAAGTGTTTATGGGAGAATTATCAGAATAGGTGATATTTGAGAGTTGGTCCTTGAAAAATAAATAGGATTTTGCAAGGCATAAAGATGGTAGTATTATATTTCAGGAAAAGAAAACTGCATGAGAAAGAGTTGGTTATACAGAACGTCAAGAAGTTAAGTCAGGCAATATTTCTCACAGTAAGATCCTGGAACCTCTTACTTTAGATCATCTCAGCCCCGGCTGAGATATACTAAATAATGTATCTGGTATGAGCCCTTGGAAATTAATTTAAAAATGTTTTTCCAGCATATTCTGAGACAGAAGAGTGTTAGAATTTGTGTGTACTACAAAAACTTATGCTGCCTTTTTAAAGAAGTATCTAGATGAACAATAGTATGATATTTAAAAACAAATGAAATAAATTTTTATCCATTTGGTTTTAAGGTCAACCATGTTAAATTAAGATTAGCATATGAATTGAGAACAGCTATGGTTATTGTTATGGCTATGATACCATACTGGACCAAAAAAAATTGGTCGATGTTCAACTATTCCAGGAGGTACTGAAGGAAGATGTTCAAACTGCACTGAAGGCATTAACAAAAAACAAGACTCCAGGAATTGACAGGTACCTAGTGAGATGTTTCAACAAACAGATGCAACACTGAAAGTGCTCACTCATTTGTTCCAAGAAATTTGGGTGATAGATACCTGGCCAACAATGGGAAGAGATCCATATTTGTGCCCATTCCAAAGAAAGGTGATCAAACAGAATGTGGAAAATATCTAACAATATCATCAATGTCACTGCAAGTAAAATTCTGCTGAAGATATTTCAAAAATGGTTGCAGCACTTCCAGAAGTTCAGGCTGTACTCAGAAGGATATCACTGATGATGTCAGATGGATCTTGGCTAAAATCAAAGAATACCAGAAAGACAGTTATCTGTGTTTAATTGACTAACTGTAGATCATAACAAATTATGGATAACATTGCAAAGAACTGAAATTCCACAACACTTAATTGTATTCCTAAGGAAACTGCATATAGATGAAGAGAAAGTTGTTCAAACAGAACAAGGGGATATTACATGGTTTAAAATCAAGAAAGGTGTGCAACAGGGCTATATTCTTTCACCATACTTATTCAATCTGTATGCTGTTCAAAGAATCTGAGAAGCTGGACATGGTATTCAGGGTTGGAGGAAGAATCACTAACAATCTGCAATATGCAGATGACACAATTTTGTTTCCTGAAAGTGAAGAAGAGTTGAAGCACTTAGTGATGAAGATCAAAGACTACAGTCTTCAGTATGGATTACATCTCAACACAAAATAAATGAAAATCTTCACAACTGAACCAATAAGCAGCATCATGGTAAATGGAGAATAGATTGAAATTTTCAAGGATTTCATTTTAGTTGGATCCACAATCAATGCCCATGGTAGCAGCATTCAAGAAATCAGACCTCATATTGCACTGGGTAAAAGGTCTCTTTAAAGCATTAAAGAGCAAAGGTGTCACTTTGAAGACTAAGGTATGCCTGACCCAAGACATTGTCATTTTATTAGCCTCATATGTACATGAAAGCTAGACAATAAATAAGGAAGATCACAGAAGAGTTGGTGCATTTGAATTTTGGTATTGATGAAGTATTTTGAATATACATACAATATACATTCAATATACATACAAATACATACAATACACATTCAATATCATATTGAATATACATACTTTGAACTGCCAGAAGAACAAACAAACCTGTCTTGGTGAAAATACAGCCAGATTTCTCCTTAGAAGTGAGAATGACCAGACTTCAATTCTCATATTTTGGTCATGTTATGAAGAGGAACCAGTCCCTGGAGAAGGTTATCATGCTTGGTATAGTAAAGAGTCAGCTAGAAAGGGCAGGACCCTTGATAAGATGGATTGATACAGTGGTTGTAACAATGGGCTAAAGGATAGCAATGATTGTGAAGATGGTGAGGAGCAGGGCAGTGTTTCGTTCTGTTGTACATAAGGTTACTATGAGTTGAAACCAACTCAAGGGCCTCTAACAACAACAACAACAACAATGGTTATTACCAAACTGAATAATACATATTCCATGACTCTTAAATTTTTTCCAACAGGTTTTGCTAACATTGTCCTGGGTCTGACCTTATTGTGTAGACATTTTGATTGCCACTAGAACAATAATAATTGTTTGTTCCTAGAAATTATTCTAAGTATATAATAAAGCATATTGTTTTTCTGAATGCTAGTAGGTAAACTACAGGAAAAGAAATTCCAGATTCAAACAGGTTCAATAGAGACCTTTTTATTAATCCATAGACAGGACAAAGACAAAACAAAGATAATCATCCAAGCTAAGGGAAACCATCAACATGTACACAATGAAGTCCACTGATTTATGTTTACAGGGCTAATTATATATGACTGAAAACAAAGGAAATCATCCAAAAATTCTGATTGGTGACTGATCAATTCATCACTGTTGCAGGTGGGACTATCAAACAAAAAAACAAGGACGATGATTGTGACAGTTACATAACTGAAGATTAAAAAGGGTCACAAGATTGGTTCTGGGCCTTGACCCCCTGTCAACATTGTGGTCCAAATATGACTCATGGCCATGCAGCATGAGTCATAGCCACAATGTGGCTGTAAGACAATACCAGGACCCCAAACTTAATTTAAATTAGATAAGGACATGCCTAGGCAAGTTCCCTAGTTCATTGTGAGCAACAATCTACTTTCAACCCCGCTCTTCTTGAGGGTAAACTGTCTCTTGCTAGGTTTGTCCTGGACTTAAATTGCTGATTTAATGATCAGAAAGAACTCAAATGGCATCTGAACTTACATCAAGACTCAAAATGGAATTGGGGCTCTCACTGTAGACTGAGCCTTCCACAACCGAAGTGCTTTAGAATTTAAGCTCTGATATATAGGTACAAAAGTATGATAACAAATAATAATAACTGAAAAAATTAAACTACTATCTTAACTCTGCTGTGTTATCCTAACAGAAGAACTATTTTTGCTAAGATTTTATGTCATCCTTCAAATTTGAATTAATAAAGAATCATCACATTTTGTTAGCATGAACTTAAGAATATTTTTAAAGTAACCACTGGGATATAAATTGGAATAAGTCATAATATCAAAACTAATTCCCAGTCAATAGATCAAATTTACCTATTTTATAAAAGCAAGCTTGTAATTTAAGACTATAGGCATAATATATAATATTAAAAAAATACAGAGAAAAATTTTACAGTCCTATAGCTACTATCATGTAGGTAAAGCTACATGAAAACTGAACATCAAACTAATCTGTGCAACATGGCTTTGCTACACTAACTGAACATCAATTGTGCTGTGTGCCAACATAGATACTTCTATATAAGACAGGCAGCATCTATAAAATGTTTTCATTCCACCAGTGAATTTAAAAAAATAAAAAAATGTATTGTGGCTTGGGTGAAATTTTACAAAGCAGATTTGTTTTACATTCAACAGTTCATACACATTTTGTTTTGTGACACTGGTAACATTCTGTGGAGTATAACAGAATGTGGAGTATCCCTGTGTCCTTCTTGCCTCTGCATTCCTGCCTCCCTACATTTCTCCCAGTGTAAATGCTGCCCTGATCTCCCATAGTAGATGCACTAAGGAGTGTATCTCCCTGATGTAGGTTTTCAGCTTGTAGACCTGTCTATTGTTTGGCTGAAAGGTAAGCAAAAGGAGTGAGTTCAATTCCAGGCCTGAAGGGTGACTGGAGGCCATACTTTTAGGGGTTTCGCCATCTCTATCAAACCAGTAAGCCTGGTATTTTTTATGATTTTGAATTTTGTTCCCATTTTTCTCCCACTCTACCTAGGATCTCCAATTTTGATCCCTTCCCTAGTGGTTGGCATTGGTAGCTAGTCACTATCTAGTTCTTCAGATCTCAGGATCATATAGACTGAGGTTCTCATGGTCCATTAGTCCTTTGGACTAACTGTTTCCATGTACATTTGATGCTCTTCACTTTTCTTTGCTCTGGATGAGGAAAGACCAATAGTTGCATCTTAGATGGCTGCTCACGAGCTTTGAAGACCCCAGTCGCTACTCTCTGAAGTAAGATATAGAACAATATTTTTGTATGCCGTATTGTGCCAATTGAGCTTGATGTCCCTGTAACCATGGTCCTTAGCCCAAACTGCAGGCCCAGTGACTCAGTCCCTCATGGTGGTTAGCTGTGGCTAAGAAGTTATCTTAACTTTACCTCTTGTTAAGTTTAAACTGCATTAAGACATGTTTATAACACATACAAATACATATGTAGGAATATCATCTGCCACACCTATATGTGGTCATGGGTATATTCCCATTCACCTATCCATACCTGATCTTCTTGCCTGTCTCCCTATGTTTCCACCCATAGATTAATGATTACTGATAATACAGTATTGCGTACAAAATAGAATTTCCCTTTTCTGTCTGTACCTCTTGTGCACCTCTCTGTGTCTTCCTTTTCCTTAGTGATATTGTGCTAGTCACTAGCTTTTGTTATATTGTTTTTCCCTTTGCCAATATCAAAACTGTCTCTTAACTATCTATCTATCCCACCAGTGAATTTTTATAAAGTGCTAGGCCAATACAGTTTGTCTGTTTGTTTTCAAACACCAGAATCCTTAGTTATAAAAATAAATATTTTCATGTATATTTTAGGTGAAAGACAATACCTTTAACAGAGAAGAGAAACTATTTAGATGTTTAGAAAAGACTGTGAAGCATTGTGTGAAGAATATTTCATTCTGTCTTCAACACATACAGGTAGGTGAGACACAACTGTTTTCAATATTTTGACACAAATATATTTATTTCCATAGTTATTGTGAAGAGTAAATGTCATTGTTTATACATTTACATTAGGACATCTACTGCATTAGATTTGGGAGGCTGCAAACTGCTGATAAAGGAAGCCAATATAAAAATTTGGTTTTCATTCTTTGTCACCTTACCTAACCTACTCTACCCCCAATCCAAATTGCCATATTGTGGAACCTTTGGTCATATGACTGTCACCTAGTGATGGACCATCAATGCACTTTCTTTATGATAGGAAAAAAAAAATCCAAACTCACTGCCATTGAGTCAGATCGGAGTTCATTAAATCAAAATTATAGACAAGTAAGAATGTTACTTGTTTATTCATTCAAGTATACTAACATATCTTTTTTCAGTAGGATTTAAGGTAACTTTAAAAAAAATACCAAAATACACCATGTTCATATCATGTAATAAAAGGACTGAAGGAAAAAAAAATCAAGGTAGGACACAAAAATGAACTCAGAGGAGTAATGAAAAGCAAAAAATTGCATAACAAAGGGCTATAAAAAATATAAAAGTGCAAATATGTGTCTAAAATTTGCTGTAAGCTAACTCGCAGAAGACCCTAAAAGAGGACATGCAATTGCATGATTCTAAAAATTAACATGACTACCTCAATTTACTTTATAACCATTATTTTGTAATTCCCCCATTTATGATTTTGAAATGTAACTCATAGATGATACAATTTTAGGTATCAGGTTTATATAAAGAAAACTCAGAGAGGAATCAATTCCAACAAGATAATATAAGCTACAATATGTAAGTGCTCCCACATAACTGGACTAGAAGACAAAAATACCACCACAAATTTTCATTCCCCTAGAGTGTTGTCCTGTCTGTCTTGAGAACCACTGATTTAAACAAACAGTGAAGTACAATTATTTTTATTAAAGCCAGTCAAGAGTTTCTGCTAATGGACTTCATGAAAAGGATAGTGTCCTTAATAACATTTTTACAGTGGTCATGACTATGAGAGACAGAAAGCTAATAGAATCATGTGTCAGTTAATAAACGGTCCCCTCTCATTTTCCAAAAGTTTTCCTCTTGGAGGTCTAGTTTTGGAAACAGATGTTTGCATGCTTAGATAACATAATATATCTATAGAAGGTTAAGCTGACAGGCACAATGGTTTGGAAAGAAGGTTCCATGCTATATAACTGACAAACACCATTCTGTTGTTCTTTATTAACTGATGCAAAATCTGATTTTACAATCAGATTTGCTAATCTCCTCCTGAAGTCCATACTGTCTACCATGAAAATAACAAAACATAATCCTAATAGCCAGAGAGCAGTGTGGACCCTGTCTTTGATGTATGTTCAAGGAGTAAATGTCTTTTGGGAACATCTGCAGAAGATCTTCCATTCCTCCTAACTGATTCAACAATAGATGTAAGCATCTTCTCTTAAAGAGAGTATTGGATTCCCTAAGGAAAGTTGAAGATATAAATGAAAGGGAAGTGAGTTTTTAATTGAGAGAGCTGTATGAATTGAATGTTAATGGATGACCAGTGAAGAAATTTAAGAAAGATTCCACTTAATGAAGGCAGGTTTCAAACAGAGTATTATAATGAAGTGACATGGCTAAAATGTAAAGAATAGACTGTTTGCAAGTAACTTGATCATGCAGAGTATTCATGAATTTTTTTTCTTTTTTTTTTTTTTTGGTTGTTCCTTTTATTTTTAGCTTTCAGTGGTGATGAAGGGTTATGATGATGGGGTCAGCATTTAGGACACATTCACTTGTACTCTTGTCAGAATTTGTCCTTTTTATAACTCTTTTTGAGTTTCAGGATGCCATGCCCTTGACTCTGCAGAGTGTAACAGAGCTCCAGGAGATTTCATGCAATAAAGACGAGGAAGGGAATGGCTATTCAGAGAGCCCAAGTAATGCTCAAAATCCCTGTGATGACTTTGTAAGTTATTCATATTCACAGATAAATGCAAATTAAATAGTAAGATTCAAAGAAAATCTTCCTTTCATTTCTTTTTTGGAGTTAAAAATAAAAGTACTCTAAAGTAAATACTAATGTCAAAATTAGTAGGTTTAAGTGGGAGATATTTTTCATTAACTAAATATTTTTCAAATGGCTTAGTAAAGATTTCACTATAATCAAAATTTAAGGGGACCTCAGATTGTGTTTCTAGGAATGTCAGTGTTTGTGCAGCTTTTAAAATCAATATTTAAGTCTATGCATGATATTTCAAATATTCATCAAGTTATAATTCTCTGATTTTCTTAAAGGAATCTCTGGAGCCCTAATAAAAGGAGTAGAGGTCTGTCTGAAAATGTCTATCTTACTAATACTGGAAAGCAAAACAAAGATTTCTATTAAGAAAGACCTTTTACAAAAGAGTCATATATGATTTCTTCTGGTCTGTGCTAAAATATTTCTTTTCTAAGAATCCTGTAAAATATAGCTTAAGGATCATAAAAATATGCTTGGGCCAATAAGATATTTCGATGGTTAGCTAGACTGAGTAATAGTAATTGTAATTTACTGTCTTGTGTTTCTTTATGTATTATTATTTAATTTTTATAAATAGCATATAAAAGATAGAATAGAATCCTTTCATCATTTTTAAAGTCCTTGAAAGCCTTGGTATTATTGGCATTTGGGGTCAGACAAATCATCATTGATTGGCTCTAGTGTTGGCGGATATTTAGCATTCTTGGCTCCCAAAATTCTAAATCTCAATAACATCCCTTCACCTTAAGTCACTGTAACAATCCATGAATAGCCCGACATATTTCTAAACCATAGAAAGGGATATGACCCCTGTAGGGAACCACCTACAATTATTTTGCTTTCTTGGTACTGGGGAATAGAAAGCCAAGTTTATATCTGAACTAAGATGTTAGGTAGATAGATTTTTACAATATATGTTTAATGAAATAAGTTAGCTAGATCTTTATGTATTTCCTGGTCTTAGTTACAGAGAGCACACTCTAGAAAAGTCCTTAAGGGTTTACATTTTTTGTTTAATTAATTCATTAATTAAGTCAATAAATATTTATTGAGCACTTTGCATGAGCAAGGCATATAGCTTCTCCCTTAGCAAACACATTCCAGAATTTGATGAAATGAGTAGAGAGGGGACCTCTGTACCTTGCATAAAAGTGCAAAATGATGTGTTAGTCTAAACTAAATAATTAACAGAAAGCTCATTATTCAAAACCAACTTTTTTTATTTTCCTGGAAGATAGAATGCTTTTTTAAAATTGAGTATTGAGAACTCAAACTCTATCTAGTGACAGAGCAATTGTTATATAACCCTGAATGACAGATACATATTTTGTAAATGAAAAGATATTAAAATAAAATCTGATTCTGATTTGTTCTAGCCATATTTCCTACTTATGGATGAATCAGTTCATGCCTAGGGGTCACTGGGAAGATATATTGTAATTAGATGACCTGTAGGATCCTGTCAAGTTACAAACAGTAATTTATCCCAGATACAGTAAACATTATTTGCTTAGTCAAAGAACTCATTAAGCAGTCTGCAGGTGCATATTGATTATTTCATAAGCTAGATGTCAAACTTGATCTGTGTTGGCTATCACTGGTGCCAATAAGAGATGGGTTTTCCCTCTCTTCTAGATTTCCCATGAGTTCAAACTAAGTTACCAAGGACCATTTAAATTAATTAATATTGCTACTCAGATGCTGACTTCCTGGGACATGTTGGAGTGTACAAAAGATAAATTTATATGAAAATTACCACAAAATAATCATGTAACCCAAGACTATATTAAAAAAAAACATAATTACAGCTAGATGTTCATTAGTAATAAAAATATATATATGAAATATAACAAAGTAGGACAGTCAGCAAACAGGACACTACCATACTTCAGAACAGAAGAAGAATACAAAGAAACAGAAGGCATTAAGTCTTGGGTGCTCAGGTGGTTGAACATTAACATAAAATTCATTTTCAGTGACCTAAAAATGTAGTAGCTTAAGATACAGGACTAAGTAATAGCTTAATCTTTCAATGTATTTAAGTAGAAGATAATGGCTCCATCTATCATAGTAGTAAGAAGAAAAAAAAAAAAAACTTGCATTAGGGAGTAGTATCTGTATAGGTGGAGTCTGGGTAGCACAGTGGTTAATACTTGGCTGCTAACTGAAAGGTTGGTGGTTTGAACCCACCAGCTGCTCTGCAAGGGAAAGATGTGATGGTCCGCTTCTGTAAAGATTTATAGCCTTGGGGAAGAAAGATGGCCTCACACCTATAACCCACATGTTTGATCCCTCTTCCAACTTAGACCCTGAGTAACTAGGTAAAGCAGATACAAATAATGATACTGGAGTTATGAGCAACTAAGGAGAAGATAAAGTATTAGAGTCAGTAAAGGTGGAGAAAAAGAGTAGATTAAACAACTGGGAAAAATAAACAAACCCACCTAGCCAGCAGAGACAGAGATGGAGAGGACTCATTATAAATACACAAGATGTTGGTGGACAGAAAGAGGGAAAAAAAAAAAAAAAAAATCACAGAACCTGCAGGCACTGGGCACTCAGGATAGCCACACTGGGAGTTTATCATGGTGACCTCGGGCTCTGAGTGAGTATAATAATCTTACTGGGAAATGGATCAAGATTCCCTTCCCCCTTGGCTTGGGCTGCCATGGAGTGGGGAAAAGGGAGAAACTCCCTGCAAGTAGGCAGAGCCCCAGAGCTGGTGCATGGTTATAGCCTCGGGTTCAACTCTTCCACGACCCCTTTTGGCACAGAGTAGACCAGGGTACTGGGTTTTTGCAGCTTCTCAATCCAAACAGAAAGTGGTAGCCATTAGGGTCTCTGTTGGTTTTGAACCATGGGTCTTTGATTGACAATAGGCCATCATCATTAGTAGAAGTCTCAGAAGGACACAGACTACCCTGCTTGTGCCTGCATCACTGACTGAATTGTCTCACCCCAAATGCTGAAAATGCCTTCTACCTTTCTATTGTAGGACTAACTTCTGGTCCTTTTTCTTTTTCTTTCTTCCTTTTCTCCCCTGCCTCATCCAATAGGAGGATCACATTAAACCTCCACTAGAGGTATTACACTGAACACCTCACCCAACAGACAGGTAACACCAGTAGTCCCAGCACCACAGTATCAATGACAGAAAGTGGACAATGCCTGCTTGCCCCAACTCCAAATCCTCTTCATGACAAACATAGACCTGAACACACATCCCCACCAGTGATTCACCAACACAGAGAGAGCTGGAGAACAACCAAGTACAGCTGAGATAATCACCAAAGAAATACAACTGCTCCACACTTTCAGATATATTAATACATAAAATCAGGATGAAACAAATCAATACATAACTAACAATTAAAGACAAGAACTTCAAGATGTCTAGGAAACAACAGACAACCTCAAATAAAACAAAACAACAAAAAGGACATGACAATAGAAATATAAGCCCAGGCTAAAGAATGATCTATCATGGAAGAAGACAAGCAATAGAACTATCTGAAAAGGAATTCAGAAAGTATATATACGGGACTCTCTAACAGCTCAAGGAAATCATAAACATGAACAATGAGAAGACAGACAATACCCTGGAAGAATTCAGGAAAATCATTCTAGAACAAAATAAGATAAATACACAATTAGAACTCATAAAGAAAAAGCAATTAGAAATCCAGAATATAGCACTAAAATTACAGAGACAGATAACACAGTGGAAGGACAAAAGAGTAGACTAGAACTGGTGAAAAATGCATTTCCCATCTAGAAGACAAATCCTTTAACACCAGCCTGTAGGAAGAAATATCAGAACAAAGATTGAAGAGAAATGAAGAGACACTAAGAGTTATATGGGATGATGTGAAAAGACACAATATATGCCTGATTGGAGTACCAGAAAAAGAGGAGGGGGAAAAAAAAAACACTGAGAAAACTGTTGAAGACTTGTTAACAGAAAATTTCCCCCGTATCATGAAGGAAGAAAAGATATCTGTCCACGATGCTCAATGAACCCCATACAGAATAGATCCCAAGAGAAAGTCACCAAGACATATCATAATCAAACTCCAAAACCAAAGACAAAGAAAGATTCTTGGGAGCAGCTCATGAAAAACAAAATGTCACCTACAATGCACAACCAATAAGACTAAGCTCTTATTTCTCAGTAGAAACCATGCAGTAAGAAGGCGATGGGATGGCATATATAAAACCTTGAAAGAAAAGAACTGCCACCAAAATTATATATCCAGCCAAATCATCCCTCCAATATGAGGATGAAATCAAGATGTCCTCAGAGACTGAAATTAAGGAAATTTGTGAAAACCAGACCAACCGTTCAAGAAGTGTTAAAGGGACTCCTTCCAATAGAGAAACTACAACAGAGAACAGCAAATTAAAATCAAGACACTTGACACCACCACTTAGAAACCAAACCAGAAGTAGATACTCAAAATAAGCTCATAAAAATAAGAGAAATAAGGGAGTCAATCTGCAGACACCACCAGCAACAAAGCAAATAGGGGGAATGAAAGTTTTAATTACAAAACTTCCAAATGGAGAGGAAGAGAGAACAATGTCTTTCTGGAACTGACTGTTCAAAACTAAGGGAGATAAAAATTTACTTCAAGGTAACCACAAAGAAAATTAACAATCCTCCTAAGCAAAGTCACAAAGAAGAAAAACACATGGGCTTAGTAAGCACAAAACCAACAAGAATGAAGAAAAGAGAAGAAACATTTGATAACAAAATGAGCTCAGCACAGATAAATATTTGGAAAAAAAGAAATCACCAACAACGCAACAAAAACCACAATAGAATGACAGCAATAAATTCATACCTATCACTAATTATATTTAATGTGAATGCACTAAATGCACCAGTCAAGAGAAAGAGAGTGGCAGACTGGACAGGAAAAGAAGACCCATCGATATGCTGCATA